CCATAAGGCTGTCAGCTGATTTCTCAAAAGAAACTTTGCAGGCCAGAAGGGAGTGGCAAGAAATATTCAGAGTGATGAAAAGCAAGAAACTACGACCAAGATTACTCTATCCTGCAAAGCTATCATTTAGAATCGATGGCCATATAAAGAGTTTCCCAGACAAGAAAAAGTTAGAGTTCATCACCACCAAACCGTTATTATATGAAATGATGAAGAGTCTTTTTGAAGAAAAAGATAAAATATATGAACAAACAAAATGGCAATGAATACATATCTATCGACAATGGAATCTACAAACAAAATGAAGAGTCAGAACAGAAACATTCTTATAGATACAGAGAACATTTTGTTGGTTGCCAGATGGGAGGGGCATTGGGGGAATGGGTGAAACAGGTGAAAGGATTAAGAAGTACAAATTTATTGCTAGACTGACAAACCTCAAAGGCAAAGGGGTTGGGGGGTGGAAAGAAATAAAGCAAAGAACTTATATGCATAACCAATGGATACAGACAATAGTATGGGAAAAGGTGGGAGGGGGGCGGGACAGGGGAGGAGGGGGTCAATGGGGGAAAAATGAGTAACATCTGTAATACATACAACGATAAAGATTTAAAATAAAACAAACAAAAAAAGGATTATAAGAGAATATGCCAACAAACTAGATAACCCTGTTAAAATAGACAAATCCTAGGAGGTGGGTCAAGATGGCGGGAAGGTAAACACAGTATTGCCTCCTTCCACAACCACATCAAAATTACAACTAAACTACAACACAACCATCATTCAGAACCGCCTGAAATCGAGCTGAATGGAAGTCCTACAACTACGAAATTAAAGAAGCCGCCACATGGAGACTGGAAGGAGGGGCGGAGGTGGATGCGCTGGTCCCACACCCACGTGTGGTGGATAAAAATCAGGGGGACACCTCAGCTGGGAAAGTCCTCCCTGAGGAGTGAGGGGTCCCTGTCCCACACCAGGTGCCCAGCTCAGGGTCCCAGTGCCAGGAAGAGAATCCCCATAACTTCTGGCTGTAAAACCAGTGGGAACTGAGGCAGAGGGAGGCTGTGGCTGTGGAAGCCCCAGCAGTTCCTGTTAAAGGACCAGCGCACAGACTTACTCAGACCCGCTCCCTCTGAGCTCTGAGGGGAGGCAGCTTGAGGGGCACCAGAGAACAGGGAGGAACTGAACTGTTTGGCCTCCAGACGAGGGCTGGAGAGGCAGCTTTCTCCTGGACAGACGTGCTGGTGGAGGCAGTTGTCCCTTTGGTGAGCCCTTCCCCCACAGAGCAGGCAGACAGCCGCCATATCTGGGACTCCAGCAACCTGGCTCACAGTTGGCCCTGCCCTGGTGATTCCCTGAGGCCCTGTTCCACCCAACTTTCAGGCCCACTCAAGTTGTTTCCAAAGGCTTTACCATAGGATTGGCCTATCTTGGATCCTGCTTCAGAGTTTCCTAAAATCTCTCAAACAAGCAGCATCTGGTACCTGAGCCTACCAGTGCACCTGGCACCTTGTGTCAACACAGACTAGTGACAGTAGTGGAGCTAACAGCCGGGAGCCCAGCACCATCCCCTGCAGTAGCAGCCCGATCAGAGTCAAGATATATCCCCAGCAACAGAGGCTGGGGAGCAGACATCCATCCCCAGGCAATAGAAGCACAGACCAGCAGCAGAGAACCATCCCCAAAAACTACAGCAAAGGCTGAGCAGGAGCTGAGCCCCACTGGGCAGCAGCACTCCACAGCCTCTAGGGGCAGGACCTGGGGCTCCATAGGGTCCTGTTCAACACAGCTGCCGACAAGAGCAGTGAGAAGCCAGGGATCCACAGGGGCCTGTGCGATCCAGCAGCCCACAAGAGCAGTGGGAAGCCGGGAATCCAGAGGGACAAGTGCGACCCAGCAGCCCACAAGAGTGGTGCGGAGCCAGGGCTCGAGAGGGTCCAGTCTCAGCGAGCCCTATATCTCTCGTTAAGTGGCCCTAGGCCTGGCAGCTAGCCTTGTACACAAGTTGGCTTTTCCTGTAAACCTCCAAGCCCAGCACGAGAAGCAGCCATCTGCAGTTCACTTTGTAGCTTATGCCGGGTGGCCCTGGATAGAGCATAGGCAATGGCTGACCTTGCTCCAAAGCCAGTACACCTGGTGGACAGCTTCAGACCACATCAAAACACCACTACCCAACCACCTTCACAAGTGACACGCTCAATGAGTGGACTTGGTGGGTACCAGAGCCCTGCTGAAGTAATTCTTGCTCTGTGTGGTGGGCCCATACACAGCTGATCCTCCAAGGTAGTGGCTAGCGAGCACAACCAGTCCTTGCAGCTGATCAGCCCGAGTAAACCCCTCCCATTGATGTGCCAACAGCAATCAAGACTCAATTAAAAGAGAAGGGTGTACAGTCCACACTAGGGGTGCACTGTGAGGGCCCGGTTGGGGTGATGAGGGAGACTGTGCCACTGGATCCTACAGGACACCTACAACAGTAGGCCACCCTACAAAACCTAGGAGGCATAGCAACTCTGCCTAATACATAGAAACAATCACAAGGAAGCAAAGTGAGGAGACAAAGAAACATGTCCCAAATGAAAGAAAAAAACAAAACTCCAGGAAAAGGACTAAACAAAATGGAGATAAGCAATAAGCAATCTAACTGATGCAGAGTTCAGAAATAGGTTACAAGGTTGCTCAGGGAACTTGGTGACACATCCAAGGGACTTAGTGAGACCTTCAAGGAACTTAAGGAGACCTCCGAGGAACTTAGTGAGAATATCAACAACATAAAAAAGGACCAGTCAGAAATTAAGGATGCACTAACTGAAATAAAGAATAAATTACAGGGAATCAATAGTAGAGTAGGTAAAGCCAAGAAGCAAACCATTGATTTGGAAGATAAAGAAGCAGAAAACACCCAACCAGAGCAACAAAAAGAAAAAAGAATCCAAAAAAATGAGGATAGTATAAGGAGCCTCTGGGACAACTTCAAGCATGCCAACATTCACATCATAGGGGTTCCTGAAGGGGAAGAGAGAGAGCAAGAAATTGAAAAACTATTTAAAACAATAATGACAGAAAACTTCCCTAACTTGGTGAAGGAAACAAACATACAAGTCCAGGAAGCACAGAGAGTCCCAAACAAGTTGAATCCAAAGAGGTCCACACCAAGACACATCATCATCAAAATGCCAAAGGTTCAAGACAAAGAGAGAATCTTAAAAGCAGTGAGAGAAGAGCAGTCCGTGACCTACAAAGGAGCTCCCATCAGACTGTCAGCTGATTTCTCAAAAGAAATTTTGCAGGCCAGAAAGGAGTGGCAAGAGATATTCAAGGTGATGAAAAGCAATGACCTACAACCAAGATTACTCTATTCTGCAAAGCTATCACTTAGAATCGATGGACATAACAAGAGTTTCCCAGACAAGAAAAAACTAAAGGAATTCATCACCACCAAACCAGTATTATATGAAATGTTGAAGGGTCTTCTTGAAGGTGAAGAACAAAAATATGAACAATAAAATGGCAATTAATACATATCCATCAACAATTGAATCCACAAACAAAATGAGCAAGCAGACTCATAGATACAGAGAACTTTTTGTTGCTTGCCAGATGGGTGGTGCTGGGGGGATGGGTGAAAAAGATGAAGGAATTAAGAAGTACAAATTGGTTGTTAGACTAATGAACCTCAAAAGGAAAGGGGGAGGGAGGGCAGGATAAGATAAACCAAAGAAATTCTATGCATATATGCATAACCAATGGACACCGACAATAGTGTGGGGAAGGCAGGAGGGGGCAGGAATAGGGAGGAGAGGATCAATGGGGAAAAAAGGGAGAAATATCTGTAATACATTCAACAATAAAGACGAGTTTAAAAAAAATAGACAAATCCTTAGAAACACAAAGCTATCAAAACTAAATTACAAAGAAATTGAAAGTCTGAATAGACCTATTATTAGTAAGGAGACCTATAAGTAAGGAGTAACCAGTAATCAAAAAAATGTCCCAACAAAGAAAAGCCCTGGACCTGATGGCTTTACTTGTGAATTCTACTAAACATTTAAGAATAAATAAATCCAATTGTTCTCAAACTTTTCAAAATAAGTGAAGAGGAGAGAATGCTTTCTAACTTATTCTACGAGGTCAGTTTTACCCTGATAGCAAAGCCAAACAGACACTACAAAAAAAGAAAGCTACAGTCCAATATCCCTTATAAACACTGATGCAAGCCTGGCCAGTGTGGCTCAGTGGATTGAGTTGTCATCCCATGGACTGAGAGGTCCTGGTTCTATTCCTGGTCAGAGCACATGCCCAGGTTGCAGGCTCAACCCCCAGTAGGGGGCATACAGGAGGCAGCCAATCAATGTTTTTCTTTCATATTAATGTTTCTATTTCTCCCTTCCTCTCTCTAAATATAATTAATTAATTAATTATTTAAAAAGACACATGCAAACATCCTCAACAAAAAAACAAGTGGAATTTATTCCTGGAATGCAAGGATACTTCAACAGGAACATCAATCAATGTAATGTATCCCATTAATGTAACTTAAATCAAAACCTCATCTCTTTTTTTCCCTTTTAGTTCTGACATTTAGAAGAATAGCCAGAAGGATTCTGAAGAAGTTTGATTGGCCTTGCCCTGGCCTATTTCTAATGTTCCCAGATTAGTTCATTTATCTGCCTCAAATTTGTTATACTCAACTCTTCAATACCATATGAACTAAATGGCTGGAAAATGTTAATTTACTTGTTGCTAAGATTCTTTTAGCATTTCCAAGTTTAAAGGTTCATCCTGAGTTAAAATACCTGCAACCCCAATGCAAATTCAAAGTCAGGGAGTGTGTTGAGTCCTTGGGGGTATAGCCAGCAAATCCTCCTTTTAAGTGAATAACACTGAGACCCAGACAACACAGGGCTGAAAGGCATAGTTGGACCTGGTTCAACGAGCTGCCACACCCAAAGAAGTAGGTGTGACTTCTGCCCAGGCCTAAGTTCCGTTTTCTCTTCTAGACCCATGAAGAGGGATGGCTGACTCCCACCCTCTGAGTTCCTAAGTCCCTGCTGGAGGAGCTGCCATGGGCTGGACATCCTGCCTGCTGCAGGTGAGAAGAAGGGCGAGGTGGAGGTGGTTCGGGATCCTCAAGTGTTTACCTTAGCTGAGGAAGGGATACAGAGAGGGGTGGTATACACAGAGGAAAAGGAATATAAGTGGGTGGGACTCAGATATGGCTTTGTCTCTTAGCACCTCTGCATCATTGTCCCCAGCAGAAAACAGTGCTGCCCATGAGTCAGGCGCCTCTGCTCTTCCAGGAGACTCCAGGAAACAGAGTAAGAAAAGTAGCTATGCACCTGCTCTGAGAACCAACTTTCCCCGCTCTTTCAACTGCTCCATTCTTTGTTTCTTTTTTAATCACTAGATTTTAGTTATTAGGGCAGTTTTAGCTTTGGATAAAATTAAGAAAAATTGAGTACAGAGATTCCCATATACCCCCTGCCCCATACATGAACCCGCGCCCACTATGGACATCCCCCCCAGAGTGACACATTTGTTACAACTTATGAACCTACACTGACGCATCATTATCACCTTGAGTCCATAGTTTACATTAGGGTTCACCCTTGCTGGTGGATACTCTGTGTACTTGGACAAACATATAATGACATGAATCCACCACGGTAGTATATCACACAGAGTAATTTCATGCCCTAAAATTCCTCTTTGCTCCACCAATTCATCCCTTCCTCCTCACCCCGATACCCTGGCAACCACTGATCTTTTTATTGTCTCCATAATTTTGCCTTTTCCAGAATAAGATAGAGTTGAAATCATACAGTGTGTAGCCTTCCCAGATTGGCTTCTTTTAGTCTTCCCTTCTTGTGAGTGGACCTGCTCGTAACCGCATCACCATTTCCAGGTTACAAATGACACCACGGCACAAAGATCTCAGGCAGCCTGCCCAGTGTCACACAACCAGTAAGTGGCAGAGCTCAGATTTGAGCTTGGGCCTGGGTTCTTATTCATTTGGCCTCCTGCATTTGAGCAATGCTTGTGGCATCAGAACTATTCTTGGCATCCAGGAACAAACAGCCCTTCCAACCCCTTCCTGGAATCAGACTGTGGGCCACTAGCTGGGGGAGGAGAAAGTGTGGGTCCCCAAAGGGTGAGTCCCCACACATCCCTGGAGGCTCCTTACCTGTCCCAGGCCACTTGGCAGGGAGACAGCAGGCAGCAGGTTCAGGCTCTCTCTTCACAGCTCCTGGCAGAAATCCTGGACTCCATGAGGAAGCAGGAGATGCGGATGGGTGGGGAGGCTGGCCAGGGCCACGGAGCTGGCTCCCCAGCCGAGCAGGTGAAAGCCCTCATGGACCTGCTGGCCGGGAAAGGCTGTCAGAGTTCCCAGGCCCCACAGCCCTCTGACAGGACACCCGACACTCCACAGGGGCCTCATGGGAATGGTAGGCAGATGGAGGGGTGTCCCCAGGCCCTCTCCCTTCTCCTTTCACACCCCCTCCCAAATTCTATTTCCTTCCCTTCCTTTTACCTGCCTCCACAGTCCTCCCCCTTTCCCTTCTTTTCACCTGCCCTACCCAACCCTCCCCTCTGTCCTCCATTCCACAGACTCAAGGCTTCAGAGACACCGAGAGGCCCTTCTGAGCAGGGCAGGAGGCAGCCTGGAGCTGGGTGGCCCTTCGCCCAGGCTAACCAACCTCCTGCTGGTGGAGGGCCTGATGGACTTGCAGCTGAGGGAACATGATTTCACCCAGGTGGAGGCCACACGTGGGGGCTGGCGCTCTGCCAGGACCATTGCCCTGAATAAGCTCTTCCTGCCTCTGTCTCGGGTGTCCATCCCACCCCGCATCTCCATCACCATTGGGGTGGCTGGTGTGGGCAAGACCACCCTGGTGAGGGACTTTGTCTGCCTCTGGGCCCGGGGTCAGGTGGGCAAGGACTTCTCACTGGTGCTGCCTTTGACATTCCGGGACCTCAACACCCATGAAAAGCTGTCTGCAGACAGACTCATTCGATCGGTCTTTCCACATGTTGGGGAGTCTGGCCTGGAAGTGGCAGCCCTGACCAAAGTTCTCCTTATCTTGGACGGCTTGGATGAGTGTAAGACTCCTCTGGACTTCTCCAACACCGTGGCCTGCACTGACCCCAAGAAGGAGATGCAGGTGGACCACTTAATCACCAACATCATCCGGGGCAACCTCTTCCCAGAAGTTTCTGTCTGGGTCACTTCCCGACCCAGCGCAGCTGGCCAGATCCCAGGGGGCCTGGTGGACCGGATGACTGAGATCCGGGGCTTTAATGAAGAGGAGATCAAAGCATGTTTGGAGCAGATGTTCCCTGAGGACCAGGTCCTCTTGGACTGGGTCCTGAGCCAGGTGCAGGCCAACAGGTCCCTGTACCTGATGTGCACCATCCCAGCCTTCTGCCAGCTTGCAGGGTTAGCACTGGGCCACTTGTGCCGCCATAGACGAGGGCCCCAGGATGCAGAGCTGTGGCCTCCAAGGACCCTGTGTGAGCTCTACTCTTGGTACTTCAGGATGGCTCTCAGTGGGGAGGGGCAAGAGAAAGGCAAGGCGAGCCCTCGCATTGAGCAGCTAGCCCACAGTGGCCGCAAGATGGTGGGGACACTGGGCCGACTGGCCTTCCATGGGCTAGTCAAGAAGAAGTATGTGTTCTATGAGCCAGACTTGAAGGCATTTGGTGTGGACCTTGTTCTGCTGCAGAGCACTCTGTGCAGCTACTTCCTGCAGCGGGAGGAGACCCTGGCCTCCTCGGCAGCCTACTTCTTCACCCACTTGTCCCTGCAGGAGTTCATGGGGGCTGCGTACTACTGCAGTGCATCCAAGAGAGCCATCTTCGACCTCTTCACTGAGGGTGGTGTGTCCTGGCCTCGGCTGGGCTTCCTCACGCATTTCAGGAGTGCGGCCCAGCGGGCCATGCAGTCTGAGGACGGACGACTGGATGTGTTCCTTCGCTTCCTCTCTGGCCTCTTGTCTCCAAGGGTCAATGCCCTGTTGGCTGGCTCCCTGCTAGCCCAGGGCGAGCACCAGGGCTCCCGGGTGCAGGTGGCCCAGCTCCTGCTGGGCTGCCTACACCCCGACACGGTGGTCTGTGCCCGGGCAGTCAACATTCTGTACTGCCTGCATGAGCTGCAGCAGACAGAGCTGGCCTGCAGTGTGGAGGAGGCCATGGAGAGTGGGGGCCTGGCCAGGCTGACCGGCCCCCCCCACCGAGCTGCCCTGGCCTACCTTCTGCAGGTGTCAGATGCCTGTACCCAGGAGGCCAACCTGTCCCTGTGCCTCAGTCAGGGCGTCCTACAGAGCCTGTTGCCCCAGCTGCTCTACTGCCGGAGTCTGAGGTGGGCACCAGATGGGTGTGCAGGATGTGCTGGCAGAGGAGAGAGTAGAGGACCTGGAAAATGCTTCCTCTCCACCTTGACTCTCTGTATCAGGGTCCTGGGCTGCTGTAACAAAGGACCAGAAACTGGGTGGCTTAAAACAATAGAAACATATTCTCTCACAGTTCTGGAGGCCGAAGTCTAAAATCAAGGTGTTGGCAGGGCTGTGCACCCTTTGACACTTTTAGGGCAGGATCTTTCCTGCTTCTCTAGATTGTGGTGTTGCTGGCATTCTTTGGCTTATAAATACATCACTTGAACCTCTGCCTCCGTGGTCACATGGCCACCTTCCCGGTGTCTCTGTCTTCACATAGACCTTTCCTGGCTTGCAAGAACACCAGTCATATGGGATGACAGGCCCACCTCAGTCCAGTATGACCTCATCTTACCTAATTACATCAGCAATAACCCAATTTCTAAATTAGGTCACATTCTTGAGGCACCAGGAGGTTAGAATACCAACAAATCTTTGGGGGGGGGGGCACAATTCAACCTATAGCACCCTGTGAACCGTCCCAGAGCTAACAGAAGCCACACCTACTCACTCCAACCTTGGCCCATCCTTTGTCCACTGCTCTGGACCTTAGTAGAGGTTGGGGGGAAGGCACCAGGGCCAAGGCCATTCAGGACCTGAGAGCATCTTCCATGTCCTCAGAAGGAGGAGAACTAGCAGCAAGTATCCCACAGATGCACATGGTCTGTGGGGCTGCTGGGAAGACAGCCCTCTGGACAGGAACCCCAGGGCTCATGCCTCTGAGCCTCCCAGTTCACCTTTGTAGGAAAGCTGAGCATGGTGGGTGTGCTGTCCTAACTCTCTGGGCCATAGGGTGGGGGCTACACTGGAATGGAGAGAGGGAGAAGGAGAGGATTCCAGCCTGGGTGTCTGAGCTTAGTGCCCCCTCTTGTTGCCCGATGCCAGCCAGGGACTTCATCCAACCTGCCTGTGGGTGGTGGTACCACTCACTCTTGCTGTTCCTCCCGACCAGGTTAGACACCAACCAGTTCCAGGACCCCGTGATGGAGCTGCTGGGCAGTGTGCTGAGTGGAAAGGACTGTCGTATTCAGAGAATCAGGTACCGCTGACCCAGGAGACTCCATCCAGGGTACCCACCTGTCTCTCAGGGTCTGAGGGCTACTTTCCCATCCTCCTCTCTGCTAAATTGGCTAGTGGTGCTTTCAAGGAGAGGTGTCTTTGAAGCATATGTCTCAGGATGCAGCCGCTTGTTTCTGCCCATTCTAGAAAGTTCCAGAGGCTCAGGCACTCATCTGTAAGAAGAGAGAAAGGATATGGTGAGGACCAGAGGCTACTGTGGACATGGAAGCATTTCTCCAAACACTACATGTGCTGACATAGTACCAGGCCCAATTTTCTCAAAGTTTGTCCTCAAATAGTAGTCTGGGCACAGGATTATATCTTTATTCTTTTTAAAAAAAATTTATTCCTCACCTGAGGATACTTTTCTATTTATCATCAGATAGAGTGGGAGGGAAGGAGAGAGAGAGAGACAGAGGGAAACATCAATGTGATAGAGCCACACTGACTGGTTGCTTCCTGCATGACCAGACCAGGGCCAGGGACAAACCATAACCAAGGTACGTGCCCTTGACCAGACTCGAACCCATGACTCATTGGTCTACGGGCCAATGCTCTAACTGCTGAGCCAAACCGGCCAGGGCCAGGATTATATCTTAAAATAAAGTTTAAATTTTCTTTAAAATTTTAAATTAAAAAAATTTAGGCCCTAGATGAGTAGCTCAGTTGGTTAGAACATCGTCCTGATGTGCCAAGGTTGTGGGTTCGATCCCCAATCAGGGCACATACAAAAATGAACCAATGAATGCATAGAGAAATGAAACAACAACTCTATGTCTCTCTCTCTCTCCCCACTTTTTCTCTATCTCTGAAATCAATAAAACATTTTTAAACATTGCATCCTTATGTAATTAAAGTTTATATGCTGACTATAGAACAGATCTATATGCTTATAAAATCTCTCCTGTAATAATTTCCAAGTTTGAGTAACACCCTTGTTTGTAGTTGAAAGATGCCATGTCCTGAGGGTGGCTTTTGGAGAATTAGGGGGGTGAGTTTGGAGAACGGGACCCAGAGCATAATTTTTCATTCTCATACAAGGCTTTGGGTACTGAAATAATCTTTATTTGAGAAAACAAAAGTATGGAACGAGTCAGAAGCAAAACAGTCATTGAAAACAGTGGTTAGAGTGGTAGGCTCCATGTGGTCTTTGTACAGACACCTCTGTGCCGAAGGAGGGTAAAAATGGGGTTACAACAGTATCTACCTGTGAGTTCTGGGGTCCCCATGACCACCCTCAGGTTCAGTGATTCACTAGAAAGACTCACAGGACTCAGAAAAGCTGTCATATTCACAGTTATGATTCATTATACAGAAATGATACAGATTAAAATGTGCAAAGGGGCCCACGACGGTTTTGCTCAGCAGTTAGAGTGCTGGCCCGTGGACCAGAGTCGAGTGTTTGATTCCAGTCAAGGGCATGTACCTCAGTTGCAGTTCTGTCTCTGGCCCTGGTCAGGGTAGTGTGGGAGGCAGCCAGTTGATGTATCTCTCTCGCATCAATGTTTCTCTCTCTCTCTCCCTCACACTCTATCTGAAGATAAATGAAAAAATATCCTCAGGTGAGGATTTAAAAAAAAAAAATCTGCAAAGGGAAATGGTGAATGGGGCAGGATCCCAGAGAGACCAGGCATAACTTCCAGTTGTCCCCTCCCATTGGAGTCCTAGCAATGACATATGACAACACACATGAAGCATTCAAGCTCACCCAAGCCTTGGTGTCCAGAGTTTTTATTGGGGGTCAGTCATGAAGACATAGCTGGCCACCATATGCTGACCTTATCCTCCAGCTCCTCCAGAGTTCAACTTGACACTGCATGGCCCGGGTCCCCAACATAAATTGTGAGATAAACTATTCAGCAAAACCTAAGACCCCCAGGTAAGCAGATCATTCTTATCAGGCAGGATATTCCAAGGGCTTAGAGGCCACCTCTCAGGAACCAGGAGCAAGGTTAGTCCTTTGCCAAACACACCTCCTAAAGTGGTCATGAAGCTCAAAGGAGTTAATTCAAGGCAAGTGCTTAGGACAGGACAAGTACTATATAAGGACCAGCTATTATTAGCAGGACTATCTTTGTCTTGTTAGCCAGAGATATAAATGCAATTCCTTTGAAAGAAACATAATGACTACTTCTCACTATTAATATTTTTTCCTTCATTAAAATAGTCAACTTTCAGTGTTTGGCTTAAAGGAGTCTAGAGAGTGCTCAGAAATTTTTCTGAACAACATCAAACATTTCCTCTACGGCCACATGCTCTTCTTTATCTCTCTGTGGTTGGTCCTCAGTGACACATCCCTGTTTGAAATGCCCAAGGGATCTTTCACAAAACACACATGGCTCATGAAATATTACTTATAAAATATCATAAAAATCTTGGGATGAGGAGGTACACAGAGGCTCTGTAGAACCTGAGAACATTTATATAGAAGATAATCTGGATGGTCTTCAAATGTTTTTAAAGCAGAAGAGCCCCTTTAAAAAAAAAAAAAGTGGCATATCAAGCAGAATCCTAATAAGTCAAACAGACAAAAGGGGAAGCTGCTGGGATTGAAAGAAGAGGGGATAGGAGTGCAGGCACTTGGCTCCTTGTCAGACTCCTGGTGGCTCCTGAAGCTTTTCTGTGGGAACCTTGGGGATCCTTCAAACATAACTTGAAAAGCACTGGGAAATCTAGTTGTATTCCATAGGGCTTCCCCACAGTTTTAAATGTCTAAGAAACATTAAACTTCTTCAGCTACCATTTCTGAAATTGGGTACATGAAGCAACATTAGACTGATCCACTAGCATATTCCTGGAATCGTCCTTTCAAGGCAGATACAGATGTACTTTTTTTCTTTTTATCCTCACCCGAGGACATTTTTCCATTTTTGTTGAGATAGAGTGGGAGGGAGAGAGAGGAAGGGAGAGAGAATCATCGACGTGAAAGGGACGCATCGAGTGGCTGCCTCCCGCATGACCCCAACCAGGACTGGGGACAAACTGCAACCAAACCCTTAGTGGGAACTGAACCCTGGTCTCTCTGGATCGCAGGCCGATGCTCTAACCGCTGAGCCAAACCAGCCAGGGCTGTATTATTTTTCTTTAAAGTTAGTTCTGTAATAACTCTACCATTTTCCTTTCTTGCATTACAGAAAGGGCTGGGACCAGTGGTGTGCTGGAACTATGAGTTCATGAGAGCTGATTGTTACATTTTCAAAAATTTTTGCAAGCTTCGAGTACTTGAAATTGACCATGGTGGGAGTATTTACACCATAGAAATTGGCCAATGATACAAATCAGGGTTTTTGTATTTTGGTTTTTCCCGAGAGCCCGTTTTCTAGCACAACTGGCTGGGGTGGACTTGTGTGACTTCCCGCCCTCTTTCCTGTATTGTATAGTAGCCGTTGTGCTTACTTCTGGCCAAACTTCCCTGGGACCCTTTGCCAGCATGCAGGTCTGTCTGCCCACTCTAGTCCTACCTTGCTCAGTTCAGAGGCTTTCCTGGGCCTCGCATTCTGTTCCAGGGCTCACTTGATCTCTGCCTGTGTCCAGGCCTTGATGATGCTGGTGAAGCTGAGGGACTTGGATCACGAACCTGGAGTTGAGGAAGAGGTGATGACATTTATAGACTTGCCATAACTAATCCTCTCCTTCTTCTTGGGCAGCTTGGCTGAGAACCAGATCAGTAACAAAGGGGCCAAAGCTCTGGCCAGATCCCTCCTTGTCAATAGAAGTCTGACTACTCTAGAGTAAGTACATCACCAAAGGCCAATCTTTCACCATTGGGGCAGGGAGCACTTGTGACACACCATCTTGTGACGTCCCCTTGACCACACTCTCCCATGGTGGATTGAAAGAATATTCTCCTCTCTATTTTTGGCCAAGCCTACTAGTGCATCAGATCCTATTTTCTTCTTCGCATCACATGGGGCATCTTCAGAAACTCTTTCCTTGCTTGCCTACATAAAAATCTCTGTCCTACTTGCACCAAACATGAAATACTAAACCCTGGTACATTCAGTTCAAGAAGATTTGAAGGTCAGTGTAATTTCTGTCTCTCCTTCCCTCCCTGGGAACTGGATGAAAGAGAGTGGTTCTTTCTCTCTTCCTTCCACCAGCCTCCGCAGTAACTCAATTGGACCTCAAGGGGCCAAGGCACTGGCAGATGCTCTGAAGATTAACCGCACTCTGACCTTTCTGAGGTATGTGTCACCTGCTTCCCCCTGGAGAGGGACCATAAAACCTCCTCAGGTGCCACTCATGGAGTGGGAGGTGATTCCAATGTGGCCATGAGATACCAGCTCCCACCCAGTGGATACCATAGGATATTGTATCCTAAACAAGTTTCCAGGTTCCAGCTCCTCCCTGGTTATTGTGCTTGTGTTTACAGCCTGAGCAGGGGATAGAGGAGAAGAGGTTAGAGCTATGCAGAGGTGGAGGGGCAAAATAATCTATGAGGAAAACCTCTTGTCCTCCACTGAGTGAGAAATCTCCAAGACCATGGTGTCAGAATGTTCCCCCGAGGAGTTTTCCAAGACATTGAAAGCCCATCCTCCAGGAGAGTCCTGTGGTTTGCTGTGTTGAATGTGTACCACGATTTTGTTTTGTTTTATGTGTATGTATGTCTGTATGTATTTACTTTCCTGCGATTATATATTTTAAAATTAAAAATGACAAAAACTTGATTTTATCATAGAAAACATTGCTTCTAAGTTGGTGCATCACAATATGGCACATTTTCTATAAGCAGGTCTTTCCTGGAGACCAATTTCAGTGTATTTTGGTCTGTGCGAATACCTGGTATAACAGATGTTCTGAGTAACAGTTCCACATCAGAACCTATTTTTATTAGCTTAAGTGAAGATAGCATTTTGGTGGGTGTCTGGGTTGATTCAGCTGCTCTTGTTTTGACCATGGCTACATCCATGTTCTTTTCACCAGGCAACTTGATGTCTATTAGGAGAAGCTTCATTTTTATAACTTTTGAATTCTTCATTTATCTTTATTCTGGCTGCTTGACCACCTGACCCAAGTCTCTTCTCACTGTAGCGGCTACTTCTCCCTGTTTTCATTTATTTATATTGAGGTGGAATTCACACAAAATTCACTGTTTTGAAGTGTGCAGTTCAGTGCAACTATCACCTCTATCTAGTTCCAAAATATTTTCAGCACCCTCAAAGGAGACCCTGTACCCACTGGCAGTCACTTCCCATTCACCCCTCCCTTCAGCAACCACCAATCTTCTTTCTGCTCAGTGGATTTGCCTATCCTGGATATTTCATATAAAAGCAAGTATACAGTAAGACCTGTTATGTCTCTTCTTTCACTTGACATGTTTTCAAGGTTCACCCACATTTTAGCATGTATCAGTAGTTCATTCTGTTTTATGGCCGAATAATATTCCATTCATCTGTTAATGGACATTTGGGATGTTTTCACCTTTTCGCAATGTGAATAATGTTGCTGTATACATTTGTGTCCAGTATTTGAGTACCTGGTTTTAATTCTTTTTGTTAGCTGCCTTAGAGTGGAATTTGCTTGTCACATGGTAACTCTCCATTTAACCTTTTGAGGAACCACCAGTTTGTTTTCTACAGTGGCCACACTAGTTTACATTCCCACCGGCAGTAGATGAGAGTTCCAATTTCTCTACATCCTCGCCAACACTTGGGTGCTGTGACTTTTAGCTATAATTAGGATTATGGATGACCTAGCTATTGTCATCCAGATACCATGGACACCTGTCCCCAGTCAGCAGGCAAGTCCTTAGAGACCCAGAGGGAAACGTAAGGTCAGAGCAGTGGAGGGAAGGGCCAGTTCCTGTGTGGTATGTATTGAGGGCATATACTCACTGAGATCAACTGTGCCCTCCCTTGCGCACTGGGGACACTGTGGTGGGGGTTCAGGCCACCATTGGGTGCCCTTGTGTGATCCACAGTGATGTGCCTCTTCCTTACCTTCACAGCCTCCAGAGCAACAGGATCAGGGATGATGGTGCCAAGTCCATGGCTGAGGCCTTGGCAGCCAACCGGACCCTCTCGGTGATTCAGTGAGTAGATATGTTGACCATCAGAGGGCCTCCTCTGTACTCTCTCATCTCCTCCTCCAAGGGCCTCTTTGGATGGGACAAGGTCCTGAGGCTTTCTGACCTGTCTGGATGGCCCCTGCAAAATTTGATGTCCATTGTTTTTCCAGAGAACAGGTGTTGGGGGAAAAAATTAAAGCCTCCTGCCAATCCAGAAAATCCTTTCCACAAATGTGAGAAAGAACATAACAGCTTTATTATTTGAATAAATATTCAACTAGACTCTAATGCGCATCATAGACAATCCACTGATGAGATTGCAAAGACAGAGGAAATCACACTCTTTTCCATAGCCAACAGATACAACCCATTACACACATTTCCAAGAAAAACAACAACTTGTCTTCAAGTAAGAGGACTGGACAGCACTGTTTGTCACACATAGTTTATCCTAAATTAGCCTGGTAGTTGGGTAGCCACCTGTGTTTGTTAATTGCCTTTAGCCAAAGAAAAGTTAAAATCTCTATCTTCATGACAAGGAGGCATTGACAACTTGAAGCCTGTGCTATCTTCTTTAATGTGTACAAAGACATGGCTCCAAGGTCCTTACAAAAGACATTCCAAGGCTGTAAACCTGGCAAAAAGTTTGTTTATTCCTCACCAGAGGATATTTTTCTATTTATCATCAGATAGAGTGGGAGGGAGGGAGAGAGAGAGAGAGACAGAGAGAAACATCTATGTGATAGAGCCACATCGACTGGTTGCCTCCTGCACTATCTGACCAGGGCCTGGGATGAACCTCAACTGAGGTACGTGCCCTTGACCGGAATTGAGCCGAGGACTCATCGGTCGGTGGGGCCGAAGCTCTAACTGCTGAGCCAAACGGACCAGGGCTGTTTGTTTGTTTGTTTTGTTAATCCTCACCCCAGGATATTTTTTCCATCGATTTTTAGAGAGTGTGGAAAGGAGTGAGGAGGAGGAGGAAAGAGAGAGAGAAAGATCCATGTGAGAGCCCAGCTGGTGTGGCTCAGTGGTTGAGCGTCGACCCACGCACCAAGAGGTCACCGGTTTGATTCCTGGTCAGGGCACATGCCCACATTGTGGGCCAACCCTCCAGTGGGGGGCATGCAGGTGGCGGCCAACTGATGTACTCTCTCATCGATGTTTCTGTCTCTCTCTCCCTCTCCCTTCCTTTCTCTCTAAAAATAAATAAATGGAAAAATTTTTTTTTTAAGATCCATATGAGAAAGACACATGGATTGGTTGCCCCTGTATGACCCTGACAGTGGCTGGGAATCAAACCTGCAACCCAGGTACATGCCCTTGACCAGAAATTGAACCTGCAACCCTTTGGTGCAATGGTCGACCCTCTAACCACTGAGCCACATTGGCCAGGGCTAGCAAGAAGTTTTTATTTAGCTTTTTAAGATTTATATACTTTTCAAAGGGACAGGGAAAGGATTTGCAATTGCCACAAGGAAATATACTAAGAAAAGGGAGGGAAGTGTCTCTTTACCTTTGGAACCAGGGGAAATTGCCTTTTGTTTAGATTGTATTCAGCCTTACACAGAAGAGGTCCTGCCCTGCCTGTCCTTCTGGCATGACTACATGGTTTGCCTGTACCATCCCCTCCTCCAGGTTTAATATAGGAGGAAGCAGCTTTTGGAGAAGAACTTAAGTGGAAGAGGGTCTGCCCCAGGGAAGACTATAGGGTTGGGAAGCAGGCTGCTGGTTGGTCTACATGGAGGTAGACTGCTGAGTGTTGAGAGGGTTGGACAGGTAAGGGGCCAGTGGGTTCTTGTATGCAGAAGCCCCCACTGAAGAGGTTGCTGGATAGTATCAGTGTCTACTGGTCACTGCTTTTCAGTTTCTGACAAGGGCGGGCCTGGCTGCCCTTGTCTCTTAGTCTCCACGTAATAATGTCAGTCTCTTGGTATCACTTTGGCAACAATGGCAAGACCTTTCTTGGAGACCCTTCCCCCCAGGCTTTGATACATGGCGATGGCACTCAGCATGGTAATCTCTGACCTCTCACCTTGGATCAGAGTATCCTTGGCCTGGAATGGCTGTGACCAGCAAAGACCAGCTTTGCTGAAGGAACCCTCTCCTCTCCCACAGCCTGCAGAAGAACACCATTGGGCCCCCGGGAGCCCAGCAGATGGCGGATGCACTGAAGCAGAACAGGAGTCTAAAGGAGCTCATGTGAGAAACAAGAAGGGCCAAGTTGGTGACTAACACAATGCCAGTACACCATAAATATTTGTGAGCATGGGGACAGACGGACGGACGGACGGACGGATGGATGGATGGACGGACGGACCGATGGATGGGTGTGAGAGTGTATGGCTGGATGAACATGTAGGTTCAGGATAGCTGACTTTGAACTCCAAAGCACTGAACCAGGAGAATGGAGACCCAGATTCCCAGGACCAAGTGAGCCACAACTGTCTCAGGCTCACATTTACTGCCTCCTCAACTGGTAGAAGAAAACAGTATTTCCTAACCACCTTCACATAAAGTATCACAAATGTCTATCCCTAAAGAGTTGGTCCTACCTCCTGGCCCCTATCCCCTTCCAGGGAGCCAAGACAGACTTTGCTACCTTGATCTTCTACAGGAAGCAGGAAGTCACTTACAGAGACCATTAGCCAACCAGCCTCAAGCAGGAGAAACTGTGTACTAGCACCTTGAGACAACAGAGACAGTCCTTCCCTAGACCCTGATCTCTGGGCCCTACCCTGTGGAGCTGTTCCAGGAGGCTGGCTCACCCGTGTTCCAACTCTTGCAGGTTGTCCAGTAATAGCATTGGTGATGGAGGTGCCAAGGCCCTGTCTGAGGCCCTGAAGGTGAACCAGGGCCTGGAGAGCCTGGAGTGAGTCTGCCTGACTATCTTCCAGGGGTGGCTGTGGACAGAGGGTGATGCCCCCCAACCTCCTGTCCCCCTCAGTTTCCCCATTCAGTAGGTGGGTGGATCTTGGAGGAAGGCTTTCAGTCAGGGCCCCACTTCCCTACCAGAACCCTACCAACCACCAACTCTGGGCATACTATGATCTCAGTGTCTCTCCCTCAATGCCCACCCCACCTGTTCCATCCTACCACACCAACTCCATTTCCCTGGACAGTAGTGGTTGGTGCTGGTTCTGGAGTTTTCAAAGTGACAATAAGCACTGAGAGCCCTTTAGAAGTTAGTGCAGGTAGCTGAAGAGGGGTCAGCTGCAGTGGCCTTGGTGCAGGGTTGGGGAGCTCGGTACTGTCACCACACTGGGGAGACTCAACTGCGCCACTTTCTCTGGGGGCTGCAGACACAGCACATGCCTTCCCCCCCCCCCCCCCGAGGCCATTCGGAGCCACCCAAACCAAGGCAGAGTCTAAACTCTGGGGTTGGTTGTGCTATACCCACCTGTCCTGACCTAGCAGGGGCTGGAATGTGGGGAAGGGAGAGGAAAGGGGGATTATGAAAAGAACAATGTGGTGTGGCACCTGCCTCAGGGATCCCCCAACTCCCTGTTGAACTCAGTGCTTCAGCTGGACTGATGGCTCCCTCCGGGTCCTGAGACAGCCACGCCAAATGTGCCCTCTCTTCTGTCTGCAGCCTGCAGAGCAATTCCATCAGTGACGCGGGAGTGGCAGCGCTGATGGGGGCCCTCTGCACCAACCAAACCCTCCTCAGCCTCAAGTAAGTCCCGGCCTCCCTCTCCAAACAGCTATCCCTTTGGTCAGGGGGGTCTGAAGGGACTTTGGGACTTGGAAGGAAAGGCTGGCACTGGGAAGCCCACACTACCCCTGTGGGCGGGTTATGGTGAAACCTAAGGTTGGGCAGCTGGGTTCTGGAGCTGGCACCCTGCACTCTTCCTGCTCTCGGGAGGGCAGGGGTAGCTATGGTCCTCGGCTGGCCAGTTCTACTGCTCCCTGCCCATTCTTTTTTTTTTTTTTTATTTTTTTTTATTTTTTTTATCCTCACCCGAGGACATTTTTTTTTCCATTTTTTGTACAGATAGAGTGGGAGGGAGAAAGGGGAAGAGAGAGAGAGAGAGAAACATCGACGTGAAAGGGACACATCGAGTGGCTGCCACCCGCACGACCAACCTCCCTGCCCATTCTTTAGGCACCCAAGCAGGCATGCCTGTCCCATTGTCATCCTCTTCCTCCTAGACTTCCTACTGTTAAATCCTAAAGGGGAGCACTTGGCTGCCTAGCCACCAGAACCTGGGCTCACTGGAGGCTCACACCGCATCCAGATCGCTCAGGAAGGCAGGTCCCAGCTGAGGTTCCTCTGGTTCTAAAAGCCTGAACGCCTGGGCTCGTCTCCCCCAGAGGCCTCATCTGCCCAGTCAGCAGCTCAGGGTCTTCTCTTTCCTCAGCCTGCGAGAAAACTCCATCAGCCCAGAGGGAGCCCAGGATCTGGCTCAAGCTCTCTGCACCAACAGCACCCTGAAGAACCTGGAGTATGTGGGGGTGGAGGGGTGGGCAGGCTGTGCTTTCTAAGGCTCCTTTATGCCAGGGCCTCACCCATGCAGAACACAGGGGCTGATGGGCCAGGCCCTTGTCACCTTTGCTGCTATATTATTTTTTAATAAATCCTCACCCGAGGATATTTTTCCACTTATCTTCAGAGAGAGTGGGAGGGGGAGAGAGAAACATCGATGTGAAAGAGACACATTGATTGGTTGCCTCCTGCATGACCCCCGACCAGGGCTGGGGACCAAACTGCAACCAAGGTACATGCCCTTAACCGGAATTGAACCCACGACTCTATGATCTGCGGGCCGATGGCTCCAAACCAGCCCGGGCACCTTTGCCATTATAAAAGGCTGAAGAAGGACCTGGCTGGGAGGAGGTAGCTAGGAGACCTGGTCCCTGGTGGCAACCCTAACACAAGTACCCCATTCTCATGTCATAAATTACATGAGAATGAAGTTAGCGACAACTCTCTGCCTGCCCCCTTGTTCCCTATCCTCTTGATATGGACGAGCATGTGGAAGGGGCCACATCATGAGGGACAGTACAGTACATGAATCAGGAGTGAGTCCCTGGGCACCTCTGCCACCTCCTGGTGGGTGACCTGTCATGGAACCTCACTGAGCTGAGCCTGGGCCCACTTGCCATGGGGTTGTCAGAAGTCGTCAGAACAGTCCAGGACACGTGCCTGGCTCATGCAAGTGCTCCATAAGCATGAATTAGGCTACCCTAGTGGGCCCCATGCAGTCCTTGGGTTGGAGAAGAGCAGTCTGGATTCCCTGGGGAGCAGGACAGGGAACATCATGGCCGGCTTCTACTCACTTGCCCCATTCCTCCCCTCCCAGCCTTACAGCCAACCTCCTCCACGACCAAGGTGCCCAGGCCATCGCAGTGGCAGTGAGAGAAAACCACACCCTCACGTCCCTCCAGTGAGTCCTTGGGGCCCCAACCCATCCCATCCCCTGCACAGAACTGTAGGACCACAGCCAAGCCAGCTACGCAGGAGACCAAGTCTAGCTTTGGGCATCCCCCACATGGTCTCTGAGGCCTCCAGCAGGCTGCCGGTGGTCATTTGCAGAGGCCATAATCCGTCCCCTGCTCTACTTCCTGAGGTTGATTCACGGAGAGGCCAACAGATGGGAGGTGGGTAGCTATGGCTGTGCCTCCGTGTCATGTGCTCTATGCAGGGGCCACCTGGAGTCTTTTTTTAAAATATGTTTTTATTGTATTGATTTTTTTAGAGAGAGAGAGAGAGAAACATCAATCGCTGCCTTCCGCACATCCCCCAGTGGGGATCGAGCCTGCAAGCTGGGCATGTGCCCTGACCGGGAATTGAACCCGGGACCTCTCAGTCCATGATGCTCAGTCCACTGAGCTACACTGTCTGGGCAGGGGCCATCTAGAATCTTTATTTGAGCCTGTCCCTATGCCCACCCCTAACCAGAGAGTACACGCTGACTACTTGGGACTAAGGCTGGGAGGGCTGTAGGAGTTCTGCCCATCAGCGATCCTTCTAGAACCCATCCTGCAGAACTTCATCCCCTGCTGTCAGAATCTCCTGGGAGAAGCCCCCTCTTTCTGGAACCCAGGACCTCCTGGACTCTGCATTGGGCCATGCAGTCATGTGATCCGTGCATGTTTAGCTTGCAGTGGAATTTCATCCAGGCTGGCGCCGCCAAGGCCCTAGGACAAGCACTACAGTTCAACAGGAGCCTGATCAGCCTCGAGTAAGTGGGGCCTCCCTGGGGACTGCGGGGGCAGGGGAATCTGAAACCTCAGTGCCCACCAGGCACAGGGCTCATGCCTTCAGCACACAGCCGCCTCTGCCCTAAGGCCAGCAGGCATGTTTCCATCCTCATCTGCTTTAAAAAATATGTAACAGCTTTATTAAGAAATAATCTACCCATTTAAGGTGTGCAATTCACTGGTTTCCAATATATTCACAGTTGTGCAACCATCACCACAATAAAATGTAGACCATTTCTACCACCCTTAAAGAAAACCCATCAGTCACTCACTCCCCATTCTCCCCTGTCCTGGGCAACCACTATTTTACTCTCTATGGATTTACCTATTCTTGACATTTCCTATAAATGAAATCATACAATATGTGGCCTTTTGTAACTGGCAACTTTCACTTAATATAATGTTTTCAAGGTTTATCTACATTGTACCATGTGTCAGTACTTTGTTTCTTTTTATGATTGAATAATATACCACTGTATGGATAAGACCACATTCTGTTTATCATTTCATCTGTTGTTGAACATTTGGGTTGTTTCCACTTTTTGGTTATTATGAATAATGCCGCTATTAATATCCATGTACAAGTTTGTGTGTGGACGTATGCTTTCAGTTCTCTTGTGTATACACCTGGGAATGGAATTGCTGAGTCAAATGGTAACTGTTTAACCTTTTAAGTTTCATCTACTTTTGACACTGACTACTTCTCTCAGCTTCCAGGATATCCCATCTCTGGCTAGTTCTGTTTGACTCTGAACTACTGGTGTTCCTCAGGGTTCTGTTCCAGGCCATCTTCTCCTGAATGACATCTCTTCTGGAAGCTCTCCTCCTCTCCCAGCCTTTCAAGTCCTGATTGCCCCACATCTGTATCCCAAATCTCTCTCCTGAGCTCCAGACCCATGTGTCCACTCCCCCTTCCATACCTCCCCTTGGGTGTCTCACCGGGACTTCAAATTGCCCGAATGATCTCCCTCAGAAGCCTGCTTCTGGGTTCCCCATCATATGAATAGAACCAGCCAACCAACCGTGAAAAGTAGAAACATCTTCGCTCCTTTCCAAGTCCTGTTGATTCTCTTTCCAATGTCCCATCTCCATGGCCACGGTCCAGGCCACCAGCATCACTCACCTGCGTCACTGCAGCAGCTTCCACATCCAGTCAATCCTTTGCAGGTCAAGATCTTTCCAAAACGCAAATCTGTCCCTGTCCTGGTGAGATGTTTCAATGGCTGCCCAGTGCCTGCCGAGTGAAGTCCAACCTTTAGCATGGCTTCTAGGGCCCCCAAACATCTGCTTCCTTTATGCCTCCTCAGCTTCGTCTCACACTCAAGACACTTGACTCAATTTCTTTGGGTTCCTTAGATGTGCTAGGCTCTCCCCCACCTCTTATCCTTTGGATTTTGGTTTAGACCTATTTCTCTGGGAAGCCTCTGGAACCACACTGCAGTCTGCACTTAGCCTATACTGGCTGTTCATTTATTTACATTTCCTCACCCGGGTTCCAAAAAGGCGGAATTGGCCTTGCTAGTACACAATACACACTCAACTGTCTGTTAATTATTATTGTTCCACTGGTTGCCTCCCGCATGACCCTGACCAAGGCCAGGGACGAACCGCAACTGAGGTACATGCTCTCTCAATGGTCCGCGGGCTGACGCTCTAACTGGAGCCAACCCGGCCAGAGCATCCGTTAAATTATTACTGCACATGAACAAAAATGGCCCAGACACAGAGGGCTTTCAATTTTCTAGTTGGTTTGAAAAGCATATCTTTTTTGTCCCATGCCTTTGTTGACAGTACTTCCATGTGTCCCCTTTCTTGTTTGTTTCTGATGGTCTAGACTTGTGCAGACCCCAGACCCCTCTGCATGTTAATTAGGAGGCCATGGGGCTACAGTGGCCACACAGGATGACTCTGGGAGTATAATCTATGGTATGTGTGGTCTGAATTAAATAGAAGGTCCAAGCTCAGCATGTCATGCTAGAGAGCTGGCCCTGTGCTCTGTGTGCCCAGGGTCACTCTCTGTGTTCAGTTTACAGGAGAACGCCATTGGGGACGAAGGTGCCTGTGCAGTGGCCAGTGCGCTGAAGGCAAACACAGCCCTTACTGCTCTCTAGTAAGTCCTGATGTGTGCTGCAGCCTTCACCATCCTTTCATATGAAAAACCACTTGTTTCCCAGTCAAGGAAGCTGTGTTTGATTTTCCTAATAGCAACCAGACAGAAAAAGGGATATCCAGCTCATCCCTGCTCCTGCAGTTCTAACAAGATTTAGGGGTACAGGAAGTGTTCTCCTCCAAACTCTCCAGACTACCTCTACTTCCTGTATCCCTAGTATCTATATATGTCCCAGGCAGCAGACAGTGAAGGTAAAATATGAAGCATCCTTTGGACAGATCACAGCCAACAATTTTTAGTGCTATTTCACCACTTTCAGCCCTAAGTCAAGGGTGGAGAAAACAAAGGGCGACTATGAATGGAAGCTGGGCCCAGGGCAGGTATGAGGGCTGGAGAGGCCTGGCCTGTCGAGCCTGTCTGTGTTGACAGCATCTCCTCTTACAGTCTCCAGGTGGCTTCCATTGGTGCATCGGGGGCCCAGGCACTGGGGGAGGCCCTGGCTGTGAATAGAACCTTGGAGATTCTCGAGTAAGTATTCCAGCCTCCAGCTAAAGGCTCTTGCTCAAAGAAACCAAGCTGTTGATTCGAGATGAATAGATACAGAGGAGAAAAAAAAAGTCAATTCATATAAAACTCAAAAATCAATTAAATATATTCACTTAGATCAAGCATGCCCCAGCTTCCCCATTCCTACTTAACCCCTTTCCCCTGAAGTCACTGTTGGCCCTCCTTTTCTTGAGTACCTGCTCTTCTTGGTCTTGCCCAGGCTGAACATGTCCCTCGGGGTGGTCTGTGTCCACTATCTGTCTTTGGGATCCAGGAGTTTAGGGCCTCAAGCTCTGGGGGGCTTCCAGGCATGTCCAGGTCACCCCTGCTCCTGTGGTTCTGTGATGCCAAGCATACAGGGACCACTGGATGGAGTGCCTCTCCTGTCTCAGCCCAGCTCTTTCTTTGGAATGTAAACAGAGAATGAAGTCTCCAACAAACCACCTAGGTTGGGTTGGCTCACCCCATCCTGTATCCTCCTTGCTCCCCAGGGTGGAACTCCATTCTGTGCCTGGGAGTAAGGAAAGAGCAACCTAACCCCCCACGGTGGCTGAGTCCATGCTGCCTCTAACCAGTAGCCCACACTCACCTGAAGAGGTATCATTTTCAACTCTCATTGTGCCTTACATTTCCTGTCTTTTCTTACAGTTTAAGAGGAAACACCATTGGGATGGCTGGAGCCAAAGCCCTGGCAAATGCTCTGAAGGTCAACTCAAGCCTCCGAAGACTAAAGTGAGTCGTTGTAGAGCCTTATCTGCACCCTAAAGCAGATGACTTCTCTGCTGGAACCACCCCCATGGGATAAGATGCTCTTGATTTTCTCTGTAGATGTTTCCTTCTAAATAGAAATAGTTCGGACTGTTCTGGTTATTGTAGTCTATATTGTGGATGAATTTGTGCATTTTGCCTAGCTTAAGTCAGAGGTAAATCACTCAACATCAGCATTTTTGGTCTTATAATCTTCATTGCACTTGGATGGTACAACCTGGCTCCTTGTAGACTCCAGTCTCAGGAGCCATCTCGCTGTTGCTATGGCACCTGTGGACACATAAGTTCCAGAAATGACCCCCAAGATAATGCAGTGCTGCTTCCTGGGTATGTTCTTCTGCCTTAAATGGCTCACTGTGGTGTCTCCATCTTTTCTGTGCCTAGTCTTCAAGAAAATTCCTTGGGGATGGATGGGGTGATATGCATTGCCACTGCGCTGTCTGGAAACCATGGGATCCAGCATATCAAGTGAGTGGGGTTCGGCAGGCTCTCCCCTTTCCTGCCATTCTTTAGAACTGCTCCCAGGTCAGGCCCTACCATCTGCCTGATTTTCAGAGCCAGTCGACTCCCAGGCCCCTCAGCAGCTTTGGAGAAAAACTCAGTTTAAGAGAAAGCCATTCAGAGCCGTGTCCGTGGGAGGGATCCTGGAAGCACAGCCACCCAGAGTTCTGCATTTTATGTAGTGACCAGCTGTTCTCCACTAAAGAGATCCTGTAGGCCTCTAGCCTTCAGCCAATTTCTCAATTTGTCCTAATCCTTCTCTTCTAGTCTCCAGGGAAATCATATTGGGGAATCTGGTGCCAGGATGATCTCAGAGACCATCAAGACAAATGCTCCCTCGTGTACTGTTGAAATGTGAGCAAAAAGTTCCTGGTGGACCGGGCAAAAGGATGGGCAGAGACACAGCTGGAAGCCTTCAAACAAAAAGACCATTTTCCAGGGTGACTTCCTGTGATCTGGGAATGCTGCTGACCCACACTCAAGCTGGTATCCTGCAAAGAGGAGGAAAGGTGCTGCCAAACGAGGTCACAAGTTCCTCCTAGACTGACAGGGTCAGTCTAGGCAGGGGTGAGATGGACACTCTGGTATGGCACACAGAGGAAAGGGTCTTCCACTGAGGGACCCAGGACTTAGGCCTTAAAACTCGGCAAGTAAGAAGCTGGCCTGATCTTATTCATATGACCCCCAATTTTTTATTACTGCCTTTTTTCTACTTACCTGGTTAAAATCATCCCTCTCCCTCTGAAAGGAGTAACCATATTCCAGCCCACTATCAACTAAGCAATGGTGACAGAGAGGACCTTTCTTTTCTCAAGAAGAAAAAATTTTAGGAATATGATCCTTAGAGATACATGGGGAAAAAAAGGGGGATTTTAAAAAGAGAAATAAAGGCTTTAATAATAGAATTCTGTAAATAGAGCAAAAATAATTTCCCCAAGGTTTTGGCCATTTTTTATACATTACAAAATCTCTCGCATGCATGGATTACATATGACATATGTTATTTGGAGCCTGGCACACTAGTTGTCAATAGCATGTTAAATGCTGATGCCTTAATAATAGTGTTCTGTATTGGGCTTCCAAAACCACTACTCACTACAGCCTCCCTCTGAAGGCAAGGCAAGCTGAGCTTCCATGTGGCACAAATCCCCTTAGATATCTCTCTGTGTTGAAAGGGAAAAGATCCCAAATGGACACCATAGCACTCATCAACTAAATAACCAAGGAAGATGCTTATAAAGGTTATAAAGTAATTAACATCTAAAAATTTGAACATGAAGCACTGTTGTTCCAAAAGTTCCTTTAAAAATGAGTATTCGGGCAAGAATCATCAATGGATACAAAACCACGAATGAAAGCCAATTGAGGAAGAAGATACCCACGTAGTCTCAAAACATCACCCCACAAAGATACCTCACAGAAATTTTACAAATGCTGCCTCAACAAAGTGATAAATTTAATGTCACCAACAATGGGACAAGTGGACATCAGGAGCCCTGATGTTATGTGCTGAGGGGGACATATCACTGATGTAGTATTTTTGCCAAAAAGGTTGATCTGAATCTAATCATGAAGGAACAATCTGACAAAATCAGAATTGAGGAGCATTCTGCAAAAAAAAAAAAACCAACAAAAAAACATAAAATAAAAACCACAAACTTAGCCTGACCTCTTCAAAAATGTCTATGTCATGAAAAATAAGAAAGACTGGGGACTGTTTTAAATCGAAGGAGATTAAAGAGACATAATGACCTAATGCAAGATCTTCAATTGCATCCTAGACTAGAGGGAAAACAATCAGCCATAAAGAACGTTATTTGGAAATTGGGTACATTTAAACATGGGTCATGTGTAGTATTTATTGGATTACTTTTAAAAAAATATATTTCTGCCTGGCCAGTGTGGCTCAGTGGTTAAGCAATGACCCATGCATCAAGAGGTCACCGATTCGATTCCCAGTCAGGGCACATGCCCAGGTTGTGGGCCCAATCCCCAGTGGGGGGGGGGGGGGGCATGCAGGAAACAGCCAACTGATGTTCTCTCTCATCAATGTTTCTATCTCTGCTCCTTCTTCCTTCCTTTCTAAAATCAATAAAGGGAAAAAAATTTTTTTTTAATAAATAAATAAGGCATTTCTGCTGGGTATTGACAGTTTTTCCTTTCAGTACTTTCAAGATGTTGATACATATACTGTCTTCTGGTTTGCACTGTTTCTGGCTGAATTGAGAGCTCAACAGAATAAGAGTTGCATAGCTAAATGTTGAAGAAAACTGTGCCGTGCAGGAACTTAGCCCTGGAGAAAACTCAGGGGCCAAAGCAGTGGAGAAAAAGTGTGCTCTTCAGGACTTCAACAGCAAGTCACACTAGCATGGAAGGAAAACCCAAACTTTCTCCAAAATCTCTCAAGCACCCTCTACTGACAAGGCATAACCTCTTGCTGGCTGATAAAGGACAGATACTACAAATGGTGAATTTGGAGCTCAGGCAATAAACTCATAAACCAGCACAGTGGGATTAGTCTTTTTTTTTTTCATTTTGGACAGATTTTATTGCTGTGTCTTCAGGATCAGTAATATTTTCTTCTGCAGTGTGATTGCTCTTAATCCCAGTTTGCATTTTTTTTACTCTCTAGATGTTTTGTTTGAGGCTTTCTTTATATTGTCCATGTCTCTCTTCAATATGCTCATGCCTTCCTCTACCATCCGAATATTTGAAATATAGTTATAACTGTCAGAATGTCCTTTTCTACTAATTTTATCACCTATCATTTCTGGGTAATTTCTTTTTTCATTGTTGTTGTTAATCCTCACCTGAGGATATTTTTTCCTTTGATTTTCAGATAGAGTGGAAGGAAGGGAGGAAAGGAGAGAGGGAGGGAGGGAGGGAGGGAGGGAGGGAAGGAGGGAGGGAGGGAGGGAGGGAGAGAGGAAAGGAGGGAGGGAGGGAGGGAGGAAATGGAAGAGAAACATTGATGCGAGAAAGATACATCGACTGGTTACCTCCCGCACAACCTGACCAGGCCGGGGATTGAACCTGCCACCCAGGTACATGCCTTTGACCAGGAATTGAACCCGTGGCCCTTTGGTCTGTGGGCCAATGCTCTAACTGCTGACCCTAATTGGCTAGGACTCTGGATTATTTCTTGATTTTTCTCATTATGCCTGATAGTTTTTTTTTAAAGTGAAAACTTTTTATATTTAGAATTAGCCAGCTGGACTCAGTTTACATGATCTCAGTTTTGTTGGCAACATCCAAAGCATCATAACCAGCATCCAGTCAAACACATGCCATCTTCTCTCCATCAGGCCCAATCAGGTGTTGACCTTGGCCTTGTCAATGTCACAGAACTTCTTCATAGCTTGTTGGATCTGGTGCTTGCTGGCCTTGATGTCTACAACAAATATAAGTGTACTTTTGTCTTCCATCTTCTTCATGACAGACTCAGTAGTCAGGGGGATCTTGAGGATGGCATAGTGGTCAAGCTTGTTTCTCCATGGGGCGCTCTTTTGAGATTTGGGCTGCTGTCAGAGCCACAATGTCTTCATGCCCGGTAATTTTTTTTTTAAATGTGTTTTTATTGATTTTTTAGAGATAAAGGGAGAGAGAGAGAGAAACATTGATTAGTAGCCTCTTGTACACCTCTAACTGGGGATTCAGCCTAAAACCCAGGCATGTGCCCTGACCAGAAATCGAACCAGGACCTCTCAGTCCATGGGACGATGCTCAGTCCACTGAGCCATACCGGCCAAGCATGAGGTAATGTTTTTTAAAACTTCTATTTAAAAAAAACACTTTTTTTCTTTATTGAGTTTTAGAGAGAAAGGGAGAGGGAGAGAGAGAGAGAAACATGGATGAGAGAGAACATCAATTGGCAGCCTCCTGCATGCCCCCCACTGGGGATTTGGCCCACAACCTGGGCATGTGCCCTGAATGGGAATCGAACCGGCAACCTTTTGGTGCATGGGTCGATGCTCAACCACTGAGGCACACCAGCCGGGCCATGATGTAATTTTTTATTGGACACCAGACACTGGGAATTTTATCTTTCTGGTGTTATTATTATTATTATTGCTGCATTTATCTTCAGATAGAGCAGGAGAGAGGGAAGAAAACAGAGAGAGAAACATCGATGTGAGAGACACATTGACTGGTTGCCACACACATGACCCCAACTGGGGCCAGGGACAAACTGCAACTGAGGTACGTGCCCTTAGCGGGAACCAAACCTGGGTCTCTCTGGTCCGTGGGCCGATGCTCTAACCGCTGAGCCAAACGGGCCAGGGACTTTCTGGTGTTATTTTTATAGTCCTTAAAATATTTTTGTGCTTTATTCTGGTACATAATTACTTAGAAACACTTGGATTCTTTCAAAACTTGCTTTTAAGCTTTGTTAGCCAGGATCAACCATCCTTTCCTCTAGGGCTACTTTGGCCCATCTTCTGAGGAAATGTCTCAATATTCTGGGTATTCCACCTGATGCCCAAGTCAAGAAAACTATTTTTGGCCTATCTACAATTGAAACTATAAAACCCCAGGTGTAAAAAATTGTGAAATCAACCTTAGCCCTTCTTACCCCAAGTAGTACCCAACTGGTTATCTGCTATGTATGTTTTCAATATAAAGTATGAATTTAAGCTGAATGGCTCCTAATGCAGATTTTGCTGCATCAATTCTCTCACTCATTCAACCCCTCCCATTCCAGTTCCTTTTATCTACAAAACATACATACATACATACATACATACATACATACATACAATAAAAAGCCCTCTGCCCCTCCAAAATGATCTCTGACCTTGCTTTTCCCAGTTCTGTCCTGTCTTTTCACTTGTGATCATCCCCTTTCAGAACAGTCATCAATACTCTCTGTGTTGGCTTCAAATTCCAACCCCTCTTCCACTCATCACTTGCTATCTCACTTCTCCTGGCTAACGTTCTCGATTTCCTAATTGCCAAAGTGCACGACCTCTCTGACTCAACCTTATTTACAATGAGGAGCTAGCACCTGTTCACCTCTCCTTTCTTTGGAAATTCTGCCCTGCTTTCGCTTCCATAACATTACAACCTTACAATCCTCCTTTCTTCTTACCACCCTTCTTCAACATTTTGAAAAATTAAGTATCTTTCCTAATTATTAAAGTAAAATATAGTCACTCTGGACGGCTAGGGCACGTGCAGGAGGCAACCGATCAATGTGTCCTTTCTCACACTGATGCTTCTCTTTCCCCTTCCCTCCTCCCTCTTACTCTCTCTTACAAAAAAGTCAATGAACGGAAAAAATATCCTTGGGTGAGGATTTAAAAAAAAGTAAAATGTAGTCACTTTGGAAAATACTTCCCCAGGCTTTTCTAGATCGGGTCCCCTTACACACACAGGTGTTTCTCAGAATTCCCCTTAGCTCTAGTCTCATCCCACATGTTCTCCCCTGAGGAATATGCAAATGATTCTCAAACTTAAAATTCTAACATTACCCTTTTCCTGTCTGTATCTTTTTATAAATTCTCTTTCAGCACCTGGCCAGTGTGGCTCAGTGGTTGAGCGTTGTCCCATGCACCAAGAGGTCACCAGTTCAATTGTTGGTAGGGGGTGTGCAGGAGGCAGCTGATAAATGTTTCTCTCTCTCCCTCTCCCTTCCTCTCTCTCCAAAAAAATCAATAAAAATATTTTTTTAAAGAACAATTCATTTTCATCAAAGTAATATACATAGTTTTAAAAGCCAAAGAATATTACTAGGCTTATAGTGGAAAACAAGAGTTTCCTGTCCAGTTCCTCACCTTTCTGAATACCCCTAATTCCCAAAACTAAATATGCTACATACACTGTTTATTGCTTTACCATTTAGAGAGTATCTATCAACTTTCTATTATGGGAAATGTTACCTGTATATACATCACCTTATGCTCCCATTTTTTGTTTCTCCCTCCTTCCAACATAGTTAAAGTATAAGTTTGGGTTGAATCATTATTTGGTGTTTATCTTATGACTTCATTAGTAGAGATCACTGCTGAACCATTTTCTTCCTATATAATTGTTCTTTATAGAATTAATGGTTATATTATTTTTAAAACGTAGTTTTCTATGTTACTATTTCTTAATTCTTTTCTAAACTGTCCAAGAGTATAAAATCTGAATACTACTGCTCACAGACACACTGGTAATTATATCAGTTCCATTTTTCCCTGACACACCTACTTGAACCCTTTGTTTTCCTGCTCCAGTCACATCCTTATTCAAAGGACTTCTGTTCTGGGTAGGAGGTAGAACCTTTAGGTCTCTTCCAATATACCCAGTCTTGAATTCCAGCACTCAAGAGTTCCCCTGGGCCAATATGACAGCTGTGATATTTATGTCGTCAAGTTGCTAATCTATATATTTATTTATTAATTTTTATCCTCACTCGAGGACATTCTTCCATTTTTTGTTCAGACAGAGAGGGAGGGTAAGAGGAAGAGAGAGAGAGAAAAACATCGATGTGAAAGGGACACATCGAGTAGCTGCTGCCCGCACGACCAACCAGGGCCGGGGACAAACTGCAACCAAAGTACGAGCCCTTAGCGGGAACCGAACCCAGGTCTCTCTGGACTGCAGGCTGACCGCTGAGCCAAACCAGCCAGGGCATAATGTTGCTAATCTAAAGAGACACATCTTCCCTTCAGATGTTTGACACTGATATTATAGTTTAAAATTCTAATAAAAGATATCTTGCATTTATTTCTTCTTCCTGTCCCCAGCTAAAAAGGAAACAGTTCTTGCCCTGGCCAGTTTGGCTCAGTGGTTAGAATGACGGCCCATGGACTGAAGGGTCACAGGTTTGATTCTAGTCAGGGGCACGTACCTCGTTTGGGATTTGATCCCCGGCCCTGGTTGGGGTCATTTGGGAGGCAGCCAATTGATGTGTCTCTCTCATATCCATGTTTCTCTCTCTCCCCCCCTCTCCACCCCCCACCCCCTCCTACTCTGTCTGAAAATCAATGGAAAAATATCCTTGGGTGAAGATTAAAATAAATAAATAAATTAATTAAATAAAAAAGGAAAACAGTTCTTCAGATTTCCTATAAGAAGTCATAGATTTTGTTCTTAATGGCTACCACCAATAAAAATTGAAGACTTAAAAAATTCCTTTATAGCCTAGCTAGTGTGGTTCAGTGGACTGAGCGTCGTCCCATGAACTGAGACGTCCCAGTGCAATTCCCGGTCAGGGCACATGCCTGGGTTGTGGGCTCGATCCCCAGTCGGGGGACATGCAAGAGGCAGCCAACTGATGTTTCTCTCTCACATCAATGTTCCCCCTTTTTTTTTAAATCCTCACCTGAGCATATGTTTCCATTTATTTTCAGACAGAGTTGAAGGAAGAGAGAGAGAGAAACATCAATGTGAGAGAGACACATCGATTGGTTGCCTCCTGCACAACCCCAACCAAGGCTGGGAACTGAACCGCAACTGAGGTATGTACCCTTGACCAGAATTGAACCTACAACTCTTTGGTCCACAGACTGATGCTCTAACTGCTGAACCAAACAGACCAGGCTCTCACATTGATGTTTCTATTTCTCTCTCCCTTCCTCTCTCTCTAAAAAATAAAAATTCAATAAAACATATTTTTTAAAATTTCTTTATATTTTCTGTCAATACACATATTTTAAAGCATTTTAAGAGATCCTTTAATTACACAGTAGAAAACACTGTCAGCAATGACCTAAATGCTAATTCTTAATAGACCTAATCACTCAATCTTTGGGGCCTGAGTCTGCTCTGCTGCTTGGCTAAAACCAAATGATACCAGGTCATAAGGCACTTGCACATATCTGACTCCTGGATCCATCACATTGACAGGAATACATTAATAACTATGATCTAGTACTTGCAGCTCCTTTGTTGACAGAAGCTACTAAAGTAAGAAAGTGCCATACCATGGTGAGACTCTACAAAGTCAGTTAACCAAGTGATGAAGGATGACCAAGAAGCAGGTGAAAGAATGAATCATCCATTACAGCTGTTGCCTCTGTGGACATTTATCTGTAGCTTGGGTTGGACTCCCATGCTAATGCCTATTAGAAGAAAGCATTACATACAAAACACAGAAACACATTTTTATTTTTTTTTATTTTTTCCAAAATATAAGTCAGGTCAGACTCAGGGGAACCAAAGCTATAACATCCAAGAAGATGCAGTGCCTCTTTTGCACCTTAGAAGCCATGGCATCTGAGGGGGTTAGCATGGCTCCCAAAACACCTATTTCCCATTTAGCTTATTGTTTCAAAGATGGCACATCTCAATTTACTGATGAATTAACTGGTTCCTGAATGTTTAAAAGAAGGGGTAATCTTATACATAAAATTTAGGAAAAGACAGGTAAAAAATCAAAGGTGATAGCAATAATTGTCACATAGTCTCCTAAAGTTTGTATATGCCATATTAAAATGTGAATTTTTGTTGAGTATTTGTTATCGGTGCAAATAAACAAAATACTTATACTTTCAAGTAAAACTTATTTAATAATATAAAAATATGATATTAAAAACATTAAGAGAAGTAACTTCAGAAGTTTTCTGCACTTATAACTGAGAAACAAATGAAAACTGTTCTGTGCTTTCCTAAAAACAAAACAAAACAAAAAATGCTGCCCTTTTCACAACAGGGAAAAATACTTCTCTTTTCACAATTAGGAAATTCTAGTGTTACTCTACCTATATCAATTCTGTTTTTTGTGTGTTTTTTTTTATACTCACTCGAGGACTTTTTCCATTTTTTGTTCAGATAGAGTGGGAGGGAGAGAGAGGAAGAGAGAGAGAGAGAGAGAAACATTGACAGGAAAGGGACACATCAAGTGGCTGCCACCCGCACGACCAACCAGGGCCGGGAACAAACTGCAACTGAGGTACGCACCCTTAGCGGGAACCAAACCCAGGTCTCTCTGGACTGCAGGCCAATGCTCTAACCGCTGAGCCAAACCGGCCAGGGCAATTCTGGTTTATTTTTTAAGTCAGAAACACAAATGTGTACTAACAGTTTTTCCTTAATTTGCTTTCCTAAGAAGGAATGCTGCTGGCCTTCTGAGAGAAAATGGAGTATTTATAATCTGGAGCATCTCCTGTTGTCTGATTTTCAAAGAAGGTTGGTTTTCATCTTACTTAGCTAACTTTCATTCAGAAAATTTTAGTAAAATACATTTAAAGCTTGGTATTGTGAATATGCCGAAGAAAAAAAACAAGACTACAAAATGAAATAAAGGCTAGAATTAAAAACCTCTAAATTGTACAAGTGACTCAATAGTCCAACACTGATTCCTAAAATGAGTCCTTGTGCACAGTCCCAGCCTCAGGTCTGCCCCACTGACTCTTCGAGGATATATGTGACAACAACAATAATCAAAACTTACAGAAAGCCCTGGCCAGTGTGGCTCAGCAGTTAGAGCATCAGCCCACAAACCAAAGGGTTTCATGTTTGATCCCCAGCCCCAGCCGGGTCACATGCAGAAGACAACCAATCTATGTGTCTCTCTCACATCGATGTGTCTTTCTGTCTCTCTCCTCCTCCCTCCTTCCCTTCCACTCTCTAAAAATATCAATGGAAAGAATACCCTGAGGTGAGGATTAACAACAACAAAACTTACATAGAAACTTATTTCTCCTAAAGTTTTTTTCCTGTGGATGTGAATCACTAAGCACACAAGTATTTCCCACTTTTTAGGAGCTAAGGCAAAAAAATCATCTTTGGGGTTTGCTCTGGTTCTTATTTAAGCTTCATGGAGTAACCATAGGAGGCTAAAGCAAAAACAGGTAATAATTAACAATGAGTCCAACTGGCTTAGTGAACAAAATGTTTCCTTCCTAACCTTCTAAATTCCCATTTACCTACAAATCTGAGGGTTTTAATCTGCACAGGTCCCTTGGCAAGAAAGTCAGAAGTCATTGTCACTCTCTTCCAGGGGCTCTGGTTTCCGGACCCTTCGACTGGGTTTAGCTGGAGACAGAGCAATGCTCTCATCTTCCAAATCGTCATCTTCTTCGTCATCTTCCATGTCAATTTCACTGTCCTCTGAGTCTTCCTATAAGAAAAATACAGTAAATACAAGTGAGGGTCCCACCTCATCCCTAACACCTTGTCAGTAAGACCCTACCTCGTTTTTTTACTTGCAGCTCAATAACTAGCAACATCCCTAAGTGAAGGAAGAGCCGGGCAGAGCAGCAGTCAGGCTGTGGGGGCATAAAAATGGACCAACATCTAGATATTGCTGGTTGGAATACAGAGATCAATGTATCATCTAAGCAGTAACCTTCAAATACCAATATGCAATAATCCAAGGTTGGTGCTTTCCCACTGATGTCCCAGGAACACCAGACCTGCACCAAGGCTCACTGGATGCTGTTTTGCTCCTGATGACTCAGAGACCCACCAGTGGGTAGCAAGGAGGGCGGGGACTTGGAGAGAGAGAAGGAGGGTCTATTTTGGCTTTTGACAGATTGAGGATGGAAAGCCACAAAGAAAATGGGTATAAGGAGCAAAACAAAAGAAACACTGCTCCAGTTTGTCCCCGGCCCTGGTTGGTCGTGCGGATGGCAGCCACTCGATGTGTCCCTTTCACATCGATATTTCTCTCTCTCTCTCCCTCCCACTCTATCTGTACAAAAAATGGAAAAATGTCCTCGGGTGAGGATAAAAAAAAAAAAAAAAAAAAAAAAAAAAGAAACACTGCTCCACCATCTAGGTCTAGGTTGACCAAGGGAGCCAGGTCTTAAAACTGCAAGTCCTGCATCCAAGGTAAACCAGGATGATTGGTCACTCTATCTAAATCATTCCCACCACCATACACACACACTGTAATTTCCTTCTTCTTAAAAAAACAAACAAAACCTCCCCCCTCAAAACTAAATCCTACCTTCCTCTCCAGCTACTCTGCCCTGTTTCTCTATTCCCCTCATATCAAAACTCCTTGAATAAGTTTTGAACTCACTTCCTCGCTTGTTCCCTTCTCACTACCTCTTAAGCACACTCTAGTCAGGCTCCCACCCCACCAATCCCCCAAACTGCTCTTGTCAAGACTGACACATTCAGTGGGTTCAAATCCAATGGGACAACTCTCTGTCCTCCTGTTTGACCTATGAGCTCCTTCTTCCCTGGCATCCACTACTCTGTCCTTCAAGGCACCCTCTGGGCTCTCACCCCACCTCACTCCTGTGTCTTATCTTGCTTACCCAACCCTCTTCATCCCCGTGACCTCCACAATGTGGGGTTGGCTCAGGGCCTTGGGCTTCCTCTCTTGTCTTTCTTCTCTATCTCCCCAAGTAATCACATGTATCCTCATGCTTAAAGACCACCTAAATATGGATGTCTCCTCAGTTCAATCTCTAGCCCAGATCTGACTTCGAACTCCAGACCTGAATTTCAACTCAGCATCAGCATGTGGACATCTAACAGGAAACACACACTTAGAACGTCCAAAAAGCAAACTCTCAATCTGCTCTCCAAGCCTCTTCCTCAGGTCCATTCCAGCTCAAGAAATGAAAACTGTACCTTTGGCCGATTATGCCACAACCAAGGCATCCTTCATTGTCTTTAACTCTCCATGTCCAATTAACAAAACCTGATGGTTCTTACCTTAGAAACATGTTCAGAACCTGACCAATTCTCAACATCTCCACTGCTATGACCCAAGGCTAAGCCACCATCACCTCTGAACTAGACTACTGCAAACGCCTCCTCACTGGGCTCTCTTAAATGTGAGTCAGTTCTTGGCACTCCTGGGCTCAGGATTCTCTAGTACCTTCCTGTTGTACTCAGAAAAAATGCCAAGTCCTTGTCACATCCTGTAAAACTCTGCATGGCCTCTGCTGCCTCTCCTGCTGCTCCTTCCCCCAGTTCGCTCCATTCCAGTCACACCATAGCCTCTGGTCCTTGAATGCAAAAACCATATTTCCTGTGACCAGGATGCCCCTTCCCAGCACCATGTCCCTCCTTCCATTCAGGCCTCTGCCCAAATGTCACCTTATCAGAGAGACAGATCTTCCCTGATCAATCAAAGGGCATTCCTCATCCCTGTCACTCTGCTGCTGAACCTACTTTATTTTTCTTACCACTATGAACCCTGATGGATCTGCTTCACTACTATTAGACTGTAAGCTTCATAAAGGCAGGGACCTTGTTTCTCTTCACTGCTGTATTCCCCACAATCCATAATAGTGCCAGGCACAGAACAGGCACTCAAAAAATATCTGTCTAGTGACTGAGTGAACACATGAAGGAGAAACTCTCATGCCTAGGGGGTGGTGCCTGGAAACAGCCTCCCTGAAATAAACAAGCGACAACAGGCACAGAAGAGATTTAAGCTACAATAATGCATTTATTCTGAAAAGTAGAAAGCCATATAAATGATCAAGCAAATCACAAGAAAAGAGGCCAGGCAGCGCTCTCCAGGTATCACCAGCTCCCATGCCACTCTCCTTACTTCTGTCTTGGATGAGTTAGATGGAATGGATAGTAAGCTGTTTAACCATCCATCCCCTACCTTGTTAAAATTTTTGAGGTAGTTTCTCTGCTTCGCTGAAGACCATCTTCTATGTATTTAAGGCTCTATCCCTATGCATCTTGCCCAGTACACCTGAGTGACCTCTCCCACCTGTGAATTTCTGTGATAGTACACACTCCTGGTGCTAATAAATGGACCTTTTATACAAGAACATAAGGCTCATGCTGTGTCTCTGTGTAGCCAACTGGTGCCACACTCTAGTCTAGATACATGTGGCATTCAACCTGATAGGGAGATCTGTGACTGGTGTCAATCTAGTCACCCTTTGCTTCTTGGGACTCACAGTATTGCTAGGGACTGCAACAAAGAAGGCAGACCCAGAGTGATGAATGGAAGAGCTCCAATTTCCCCATTCTGGTTCATTTCTCATTCAGTTATTCACTTAATAATGTTAAAGGTGCTGCAGCCATTTGCCCAGCCTCTCTAAGGCTCTGGTCTCAGGAGAGCCTCCTTTTCATGTTCCCCCAGAATGGAGTTGGAGAGAGAGTTGGTCTTAACTACAGGCCCTCAACAGCATCCCTTCTTTTCTAGGTTATGGTTCAAGGGCCAGATGACTTCCTAACCACAACCTTTCTTGTCCTTGGCTCAGTGCTACTCCTCCTCAGCATAGGTACCTTTAGGTAATTTCACCATTCACTGTGGGATCCATTTTGAGTGGCTTTTGCCCAGGAGACAGAGGCATCACTCTTGGGGAAGGCTCTCTGCTGGCCCTGAGTGAGCACACACACACACGCGCACACACACAAATGGATGAGGTGAAAAAGAAAACCAACCTGCTTCTTGGAGCTGGAAGTCTTGCATTTACCTAACAGAGCTGGTGCTCCTTCCATCTTTGGAAAGTGAGAGCAGACAGAACATGAGAAGGAAAAAAAAAGTAGGGGAAGCAGGTTCATTCGAAAAGAAAAGAAATGAGCCATCAACAAGCAAAGGAGTGAGGCCATCTCCTTGGGAGGCTAAACTCTGCCACAAATCCAATGATGAGCTGGGCTGAGAAGCCACACCTCATGCTAAGCTGGTCAGATGTGCTTAGTTCCTGGCTAATCTAGTCACTGAGGACAGCCCGAGACCAGAAAGAACACAATTGTTAAAGGGGGCTGGTCAGGACTCACATCGTCATCGGAGTCTCCACCTTGCATTGTGCCCACGATGCGTTTGTTAGGTCTTCCTGGGGAGAACAAAAACATGAAGAAATTGCAAAAACCTTGCAAAATAAGGCATAAAATGGCATTCAAGATTTACTTTCCTTTAGAAAATTGGGGGAAAGAAAAGTCAGAAAATTTACTCCAGTAGCATCCAACTAATCAGAACTGTCAACAAATGGCAATGGATTTCCTGCATTTCTATACTGAAACAAGGAAAAGGGTAGTAAAATGTAAGCATGAATCATAAATCAGAAAAATAAAGATGCATCCTATAAGTATGTTAGGGGAAAATCACTTAATCCCATTATTAGTTTATACACAGTGGGACAGGTATGCTATCTGTTGAAAAAAGAAATATATTCTCTCTTTATGGACCCACATCACTTCTACTTGGATCTGTCTGCGTGTCAAAAAGAAAAAAGTTTAAGTATCATAATTAGTTTATCTTCCAAAACATCAACATTATTTGAGTGATTCTCCATTTCTCCTTTGGAAGTCAATGTTGTCTAGACTTCCGCAAAAACTTAGGAGGCATCCTTCACTGGGTGGAGATAGAGAGCTGCTCTCATAGCTGAAGGCTGAGAAACAAGCACCCATGACCCCAGGTCCAAGTCTTGGGAGAAAGGCAGTGAGGGCAGCTTAGAGGGGAGCTCACTCAGGATAGGCCTGGATGTGACCACCAAGAACTTTTCCTTGGGACAGATAAAATACAGCTCTTGTGTTGTTTCACTTCTGCAGTGAGTGGTCAGCAGCAGAATTTAGGAGCACCAATACTTTTACTACTATGTTCTACAGAACTAATCACATACCTCTTCAGAGCCTTGGCTCCCATATGTAGAATGGGAGTCATAACCTCTAACTTCTATTGATGTCATGAAGCTATTAAAAAATAAAAGGAAGAAAAAGGAAATCAGAGCATCTAACTATCCTATGAAAAAAGCAAAATGTAGTGAGTAAAGACAGGTGGACCTAGAATAACAGTTAACAACAAAAGTTAATATGAAATGATGCCATGAAGATGATTTACCACTTAAATTTATTATGTATATAAAAATGCAATTGTGGCCTGGCTGGTGTGGCTCAGTGGATTGAGCGTCGTCCCAGGGACTGTGAGGTCCTGGTTTGATTCCTGGTCAGGACACACGCCTGGGTTGCAGGCTTGATCCCCATAGGAGGCATGCAGGAGGCAGCTGACTGATGTTTCTCTCTCATATTGATGTTTCTATCTCTCTCTCCCTTCCTAAAAAAAATAAAACATATTTAAAAAACAGAAATGCAATTGTGCTCCAAATTTCAAGAAATGGTAGATAAGAAATGTTATTAAAAGCAGATATGATAATTTAGTAGTATCTATCAGAATTTAAACTTACATAACCCTTGACCTAAGAATTCCACTTTTAATGATACTGCCTAAATAAACACTTGTGATATGCAGAAAAAATGTATCTACAAGGAAAAGAATAGAATATGGAAATGCCCAAGTAAATTAAAGGTACAGTCATACTATGCAGCTATCAAAAAGAAAGAAACAGATCTACATTTTACCAACATAGGAAGAGTTCAATATATTTAAAATTTTTAAAAAGCAGATTGCAGAACCATACACAAAGTCTTCTGGTTCCATTCAGGTTAAAAGCATTTCAGATGATCTTTGTGTCCATGCTTCAGTATGTGTGTGTGTGTAAAGGCAATTTGGAAGGACACACCCTTCAGTTACTGGCTTAAGGTGGGGAGTGAAACATGAGGAAGACCCCACACCCAGATTTGCTCCACAATTTTATTGCTTGAATTTGTTGCAGTGAGCAAGTAGAAATGAGAAGAACATTTTTAAAAGGCAGAGATGCTTGTGTAAGTCCCTTCTTTATAAATTGATTCTCTGACCATAAGGTATGTATGTAATTGCACTGAGAGCAGTTTGGACCCAAAAAGGACAGAATATAGCTCAGTGGCAGAAGCCGTGTGTTCCTGCGAACTCTGTGAGAAACATCAGGCCACAAATAAGAATCGGCCATTCTTTGGACTACAGGTAAGAGCATTAGTGGCAAAGATGACCACTGAACAGTTCAAGAGCCAAATCCTGATAAACTACAGGGCAGGATAAACCCTGGAGCAGGGCCGCTCACAGTGTTGCTTACGGGTCTTAATACCAAACAGCTCTGACCCAGTTCTGGCTGTGCTGTTCTGTGACAGGCACCAGGAGGAGGCAAGTTGAAAGAAGTCATGGTACCTTGCATGAGCACCTCAATGGCTGTCCGTGGCTTGGATAGCCGTCTCTCTTCCAGTTCACTGTCGGATTCATCATCCTCCTGGATATCAATGTCTGAGTCATCATTACCTGGCAGGAACACAAGTAAGGCAAAAAAAAGAAGGGGGGGGGTGTCCCATCATTACTTCTAAAACAGCCTCTTGTCCAGTAAGGCTCTTGTGCAGGTCATCTGCACTTCTCAGTCTTACTTTTGATGCATTATATTTTATGAGACTCTCAGGATTTTCTGGTTGATACTTACTGAAGAGTTAATGCAGACAATAGGCTAGTTTATGTTTTTTTTAAACAATTTTCCAAAGTAGAAAAATGTGGGTCAGATATATTAGAAGCACTATTTCAGTATGTGAAACTAAACAACTGAACAGCCAGTTGTCAAGGTAGCTGGGAGTTGCTGGTTAGTTGGAGGTGAAAAAAAATTCTTTGTTCAATCTTAGACTGTGTTACCAAAACTCAAACTCCTTGAGGATAACAAAGATGAAGAACACCCCACTGAAAAGGCCAGCAACTGTACCAAACAAGGTGGGAGGCAAGAAGGATACCAGGCTAGGAATGGCCTGAGTAGGGCTGGTATAAGAAAAATGGTGACCTAGTGAGTAGCAATGAAGACTGATGCTCACTGATAGTCTTTACTGGAGAAAATTCCATGATAAAGATATAGAAAGAAAGGTCATGCTAGCCCTGGTCAGTTTGGCTCAATGGTTAGAGTGTCAGGCCGTGGACCGAAGGGTCACAGGTTTGATTGATGGTCAAGGGCACGTACCTTGGTTGTAGGTTTGATCCCTGACCCCCATGTGTCTCTCTCACATTAATGTTTCTCTCTCTCTCCCTCCCTCCCTTCCTTCTACTCTCTCTCAAAAAAAAAAAAAAAAAAATCAATAGAAAAATATCCTTGGGTAAAGATTAACCAAAAAAAAAAAAAAAAGAAGGAAGGTCATTCGTAATACCAAGGCTTTTTACATTAATTTCTTAATACTCTTCTAGAGTTTTATATATGTTGAATATTTCCTAATGGAAATCTATAGAACAAGAGTTTCCACAGTGGAAAGAAAAAGCTTTCACTGCCCAGCACCTGATTATTCTGCACCCAGGGAGAGACACAGGTCTTAAGGACGTAACTGGAGAAGTTTGCAATTGCTGCTCTGATCATTGACTTATAAGTCAATTTGGAAGTATAGTAAGTGTTCATCTACAAAAAGGTTTTGCTTAGGCCCTGATCTAAGAAGGTAATAAAATGGTGGTTGTGTCTAGCTGGGCACTGAGTGAAAGTTTTCTGCTTTCTTTAGCCATGGGCAGAAGAGCTGTGCTATAGAGCACAGAGGTGCAAACCAGAGAGGGTCAATAATAGCTTCCTGCAAGACTTCAACATAATCAATCTGAAAACTAACATCTTACAAAAGCCCTTACAGAGAATATAACTGAATATTAACACAATTGACTATAAAATTAAATCACTGTTCAGCTTAGTTTACTTTTTACTTCATCTAGGAAAATTATGACATTAAACTAGTACTCAATGCAACATAAATCAAATGATATCATGAATTTTAAAACATTAATACAGATATGTCAGGCTCAACATGATTTCTTCTAACAACTCAAAGCAAAACCCTGAGGACTAAGCAGGTAAAAACTAAAGCTAATACATGCTGACACTGAAATTACCGAGTTGTCAGTGACTTTTAAAATTAAGTACAGCACACAATGGTACTGGTATAATCTAACAGGGAAAGAATAGTCTTCCCAACAAATGGTGCTAGGACAACTGGATAGCCACATACAAAAGAAATAATTTCATATCATACACAAAAATGAACTAAAACGGGATCAGAGACCTAATATAAGAGTTAAAACTATAAAAATCCTAGAAGAAAATACAAGAGTCAATCTTGGTGACCTTGAATTAGACCGGGATTTCTTAGATATGACACTAAAAGCACAAGCAACAAAAGAAGAAATTAACAAATTGGACTTCATTAGAACTTTGTACAGCAAAGGACTTAACCAAAAAAGTGAAAATGAGAAATTATTTGCAAATCACAAATCACTAAAATCATTTATAAAATACTTTATATATTCCAGAGTATATAAAGAGCTTTAGTAACTCAATAATAAAAAGATAAAAATAGCCCTGGCCTATTTGGCTCAGCGGTTAGAGTATCAGCCTGCGGTCTAGAGAGACCCAGGCTCAGTTCCTGCTAGGGGCACGTACCTTGGTTGCAGTTTGTCCCCAGCCCTGGTTGGGTCCCGCGGGAGGAAGCCACTCAATGTGTCCCTTTCACGTCAATGTTTCTCTTTCTCTCTCTCTCCCTCCCACTCTATCTGAACAAAAAAAAGGAAAAATGCCCTCGGGTAAGAAAAAAAAAAGATAAATAAGCCAATTAAAAATGTGCAAAGAACTTGGATATCTCTCCAGAGAAGATATACAAACAACCAATAAGCACATGAAAAGATGCTTGCTCCATTTCATTAGCTATAAAAGGAATTCAAATCAAAACCACAATGAGATACCACTTCATACCCACTTAAACTATAAGCAGTTTCTTTGTAAGTTTCTCCTTTTAGATCAGCACTGTCCAATAGAAATATAATGCCAGCCACAGAGGTAAGTTTAAATTTTCTAGTAACTACATTAAAGTAAAAAGAAACTAGTAAGCCCTGGCCGGGTTGCTAAGTGGTTAGTGCGTCAGCCTGCGGACCAAAGAGTCGCAGGTTCAATTCTGGTCAAGGGCATGTACCTCGGTTGTGGTTGGGTCCCCGGCCCTGGTTGGGGTTGTGCGGGAGGCAACCAATGGATGTGTCTCTCTCACATCGATGTTTCTCTCTCTCTCTCCTTCCCACTCTGTCTGAAAAAAACATATAAAAATAACCTCACGTGAGGATTAAAAAAAAGAAAAGAAACTGATGAGTTAATTTTAATATTTTACTTAACTCAATATACCTAAAATGTCATTTCAATAAGTAACCAATGTAAAATATTATTAATGAGTAATTTTACTTTTCTTTCATACTAAGTCTTCAAAATCGGGTATATATATTCTCTATAAACAGCACACTTCGTTTTGGACTAGCCACATCTCAAGTGCTTAAGACCCCACGTGGCTCGTGGCTAGGTAGTGGATAGTGCAGTTGTAGAGTTGGAGATCTCTGAGGGCCTCATCCATCACTGTAGGCTGGCACAATGCTTGATACACAGTAGTCATGCAGTAAACACAGGACAGGGCAAAAAGTTTACAGTTGTGAGTACTCAAAACACATTTATTCTTGTATTATAATTTATTATTGTATTATTTTCCATACAAACTGTAAACCTACTTTTGCCCCACCCTGTATGTGTTAAATGCATAAACATTTGCTCTCCACTACACCATAAAAACAGAATCACAGCAAGGTTACTGTGACTTATAATAAGAAATATATATTTGGTCTTCCTCCCTGTTTCTGGCAGAGAGCTACCAAATCCCAAGGACTTTTTTAAATGATGAGAGTAACAATGGTGTCTCTTATTACGTAACTGAGGTGACTTGGATCTCACTCAAGGATAGGGCCTGGTTGCCAGGAGGAGTCAACCACGTGATTAGAGAACTGGAACTGTGTCCTGATTTCTGGAGAAGGGAGAGGGGCTTGAAGTTGAATCAATCACCAGTGCCAATGCCTTCTTAGTCAATCATGACTATGTAATGAAGCCTCTATAAAAACCCAAAAGGGATTATCTTGTTGGCCTTTTTCAGAGAGCTTTCATGTGCCACCCAAGCTCCACAAGGACAGAACCTCCTGTTCGAAACTTTGCCCTGTGTATCTGTTCAACTGGCTGTTGATTTGTATCCTTTATAATGCATCAATAATTTAGTGAATAAATAGATTTTTCCTGTAACAGGGTTGTAGGAACTTCTGATTTATAGTCAGTCAGAAGTACAGCTAACAACCTGGCACCTGAAGTGGAGGGCAATCTTGTGGGACTAAGCCCTTTATATGCGGAATCTGATTCCATCTCCAGGTAGCTAGCATCAGAATTGAGTTGAATACTTGGATACCTTGATGGCATCCAAAAATTGCTTGGTGTGTGTAAGCCTAAACACACACACACACACACACACACACACACACACACTGTGTGCGCACGTACTGGAAGTGGGTCCGTAAACCCCATTCAGTTATTCAAATGCTTTCCAGAAATTTCTGGGTAATTTTATAATTCAGAAGACTCTTTAAGTTCCTAATGCTACAGTGAAGAATCCTACTGAGGATACAATTATAAATTTACCACCAGCAATGAGGTATGGTGGGAAAATGAAAAGCTGGAAAAAAAATGTTTAAAAAAATATCCTCATGTGAGGTTTATAAAAAATAAAAAAATAAGTGAAAAGCTGCCCTTGACTTCTATTACAGGGTATCTAAACAAAATACTTTGCCCTTTTAATTTCTGGGGCTCCTATGGCATTTTCCCATCTCGAATCACTCAAAATTTCTTTTCCTAAAGTCCCTTACTCTACACCACCAAAACCAAATCCAAGATGACTTCAGAGCAGTAGCACCAGCTTGGGAGTCCAACGCATTTCCCCACAGCAGCAGTGACTGAGCAGGATTGGAGTCCCACCCCCAATAGCAGCTGAGGCTCAGAACCGAGACACACCCATAGCAGGAGAGACTCATGAGCGGACATCTATGCCCAGGCAGCAGCAGCACAGATCGGCAGCTGAGACCCATCAGGAGCGGTGCCCCAGCCCAACCAGCAGCAAGGCTCAAGAAGCTGAGACCTGCCCCTGACAACTGCAGCAGCTGATTTGGAGTGGAGCCCCTCTCCCAGCAGCAGCAAAGTCCCAGGAGCTGGGCATCCTCAGCCCCCAACAGCAGCAGAGGATTGGGAACTGAGAGTACCCCCTGGTAACAGCAACAGCACTAGCAGCGCATACTGGAAGCTGACACTTGCCTCCAGCAGCATTAGCAGCAACTGGTCATGAACTGAGCCCCACCAGGCATCAGCACACCCCAGCAGGGCACCAGCTAAACCCACACACCCCAGAAGAGTACCAGCTGGACCCACGCACTCCAGAAGCACACCAGCAGGACCC